GTCGTCGCACCGGACCACAAGACAACCGCTCAGTTGGCAGTCGTCGCACCGGATTACAAGACAACCGCTCAGTTAGCAGTCGTCGCACCGGACCACAAGACAACCGCTGAGTTGGCCGCATAAGTGGTGCACATCGCATACACGACCTGACAGACCTGTACGACATATTGGTGGTTGCATAAGTGGTGCACATCGCATACACTGCCTGACAGACCTGTACGACATATTGGTAGCCGCATAGGTGGTGCACATCGCATACACGGCCTGACAGACCAGTACGACATATTGGTGGCTGCGTAGGACGTGAACAGCGCATACCAGGACTGACAGACCTGTACGACATATTGGTGGCCGCGTAGGACGTGAACAGCGCATACCTTGCCTGACAGCGCCGACACAGTACGTGAGTGGCCGTAAAGCCGTACAGAATATATTATAGTCTCAACATATCATACATGTGCATGAATATGTACTGAGCGAACGCCTTAAAGCCCAAGTACGACAAACAAGCATAACCACACTAATTCATTGACCCGTACAGCATATACTAGGTGTGAGTATACTGTTGTCCGTTAACAGACCCACACAATCACACACAGTTAAGGGGAGTCAAGACTAGTGTTTCCCGTCGGGACTTCACGTTCCCCTAACAATATAACGTATCAATAAAAGGGAGGGAAATTCATAGACAAAAGTACACACGAAGTGCTGCCCATTTACTCATTCATTCATCCATTACTTCTTGTACATACATTGACTTCTCATTCATCCAGTGATCCCTGTAGTCCCTCTCACCAGTACTTCTCCACACGTGCCCACACATACAGTCATCTATTCATATTGGGTTACTTCTCATCCGTGCCTACATCTCGTGTCATTCCAGAGGTCCTATCCGTCAAGACTTCTCACCAACACATCACACATACGACACCCGACGCTAGACTTAGTCGTTCTTCAAGACCTTAATCCCGAATACCGTCCGACGACTCGTCAAGAGTTCACTCCCGACACCCGGAACTTTGAGCTTTCGTCACAATTTAATAATAAATGTTTTTAAATTCATTAAAAAGTTTCATGAATTAATCAATTAGTGTCACCACTGAGCAAATAAGATTAACATTTATTATAATTTTTAAATAGATTTAGCATTATAATAATAATAATAATATTTGATATTATCAAACTTTATTCAAACATGTTGAATAGATAGTACATTAATTAGTACACAGTTCAGTGTTTAGTCATATTATGACAACGCTGAATTTAGAACAAAGGACAAAGATTAATGTTAATGGGTACTGGGCCAAATATTTTATATTAAAAATTTTATTTTTTTTAATTTGCGAAATTAATTGTCATTGTAAGCATAATTAAAATTGGTATAAATGATGTTCAGTAATTACGTTATTCACTATAAAAAAACGTACATAACTGATACTAAATTTAGTAATTTTGATATAACTCATATCGGTTATGTCAGATTTGAGAAATTCCTACGGATTTTGATTTTACTCATTTATACCTTTCTATTGATATATAATATGGCATGGTTATTTATAAAGTAATAATAATAATAATTCTCAATGTTTAACGCCATACATCATACAGAGTATACGGTAGACTTGTCCCGCAGAGAACTATAACGACTTGTGGCTCAGTCTACCGGTACCACCGGTGGGGTCGTAAGTTGTCACAGTCCGTAACTATCTCACTGAATTCAGTGCTATCTACAAGACAAAGAATTCAGTGGGCCGGCATCAGACTCGAACTCGCTACTTCAGCGTGCAATGACTGGTGCCTTAGACCACTACACCAGTCTGCCTTGGTTATTTATAAAGTAAATGATTTGATTTTCAAATTTGACCGATAAAAGTGGTCACTACGGCCAGACCCGAAAAGATCTGGACATATGAAGTATATCACTCGACTACCTATTAAGTGTACTTTCATTCTATCACAATAATTAATAATAATAATAATAATTTTTATTTTAATCTTATTGTGAAGACAATGTTATACAGAACTTGTTGTATACATATTAAGAGTTACATTTTATACACATTTATGTTTATACAATTGGATTATATACATATTGTTGTGTGGTGAGCCCTTACCTGAGCTACAATCAACATAACTATGTCGTGAGAGGAGACCTTACCAGATCCCTCAGCTCACAACTGCTCACTTTGATCTCATTTGTTGCCATTGTTAGTCAAATATGTTAGTGGATGTTATGGGCGATTGCCCGAATCGTTTTATTTATTAGTAAACATATACGACTATACTTGTAATGTAGTTCCCGAGCGGTG